AGCTCCAGGTTTTATTGTCTCACCTGTGGGAAAAGAAGGAAAAAGGTGGGGGAGGAAGAAGGAATAAAAGAAGGAAAGGAAGGAAGGAAGAAGGAGTAAAAAAGAGAGAAAAATAAAGAAAGGAAGAAGGAATTTAAAAAAGAAAGAAAGATGAATAAAGGAAGAAAGAAGGAAGTTTAAAAATTAAATTAAAAAAGAAGAGAGGGAAAAGGAATAAAAAAGGAAAGGAAGGAAGAAAGGAAAAAGGAATTAAAAAGAAAGAAGGAAAGAAAGGAAGAAGGCATTTGAAGGGAAAAAACCCCTTTGATGGCTTTAAACTGGTCAGGCCAGTTCTGCTGGTCTTCCTGGCTGTGGCAGGCTGAGGAGGAATTGCTTTCCCTCTTCTCTTTTCCTGAGCCACACTCTTCGCTGTTTTCTAGCCTCCAGCCCAATTCCTCAATTCGCTCTCAGGTCCCCAGTGCCCTTCTACACCCAGCCAAGGCCTTGAATCCACCAGTTGCACTGTTTTTGAGGTGCACCAATTAGGGGCAGCTCACACACCACCTTCATGCTCTTTGCTGTCCTAGATGTTAGGGACTCTCAGTGCCCCTTTAGGGTAGTTTAGCTCCCCCAGAGTCAAGTCTTTCAGAGGACTGCTGAATCCACTAGCCATGCAGCTCCCCCCTGTGGGGCGTTTCCACCTTCTAGAAAGGCAGTAGCCCTGCAGGGCTATGGGCCCAGGGGTCGGGTGGGAAGTGCTCCTTACCTGGTGCTTCAGGCATGGGTGCAGGTGGGCAGCCAATGGCAGCCAGTCAGGTGCACACAGTCTCTGGGGGCTGCAGGGTAGGGGCACAGAAGTTGGGTGGCTGTTCCGGAGAATTCCCCGAACTCCCACCGAGTGCCTCTTTTTCTTTTTGAAAAATTTCTCCTATTCCCAGCCCACTGGTCCAAACAAGCACCTGGTCACGCACAGAGCCCAGTCTGGCTCTCTCCCAAGAATTCTGCGGCAGAACCAGCAAGCACCAGGCCTGGAGCTACAGTCACCCTTATCGCCCCCCGCTGGTCCCTGGGACCTTATTGTCTGTCCTTAAGCACTCTCCTTACCATCTGATTTTTCAATGTTCTCTACAATTTTTGGTCTCCAATCTTCATAAATGCTGGGATACCTTTGGCTGTTCTCTCTTTTCCTCAGAAGAACTGCTAGGTGTTTCACCCATGTGCAGAGGCAAGTGGACTCTGCTCCCACCTGTCTTGCTGGCATCTTCCCGACAGTATGTATTCTCCCAGAAATGCAGTATGAGCTATAATCAGCCTACTGAAATTACACATTTCTGATTATGAAGTTGCCATTCATTTCCTACAGTATAATATACTTCTGCAATGATGCCCCTCAAAGTTTTCAGTGATCAGTGGTATAACTCACTAGAGTAAATGTCCCTGCGGAACACCTCGTTCACATTTAGCAGCATACTAATAGAAACAGTTCCAGCAGAAACACTGAAGATACAAGTACTGTAAAACACTAACTGTGGATGTAACTATTATAAACCATTGCTGGATCAGAGCTCAATTTTGTACAATGACAAAATAAAAGGAAAAAAGAAGGAATGAAATCAGGCCATTTGCTAAGGATGGATGAGTTGAAAGGATTGTCACATTCCCTTAGTCACTGGACTCAACCTGTCAGTGTTATCACCAAAGGAAGATATTATTGCAGGTACTTGATTCTCTATTAAGCATTTGACTGATGGGTGAAGTGTTTAGGCATCTGAGTCAATGAAGAACTTATTGCCCCTGCCATGTTGATATTGATATATTAGTAGGTAGAACAGTACTATATCCTAGACGAAGGCCCCTTAAGGCCACAAAGGAGATACTCTGTTTGGAAAAGCTTCGGTAACATGGTTTATTTTAGTTAGAAAGTAGAAGCCAGTGAGCACAAGCCTCTTTTCATCTGAGATGTAAACCTCATATACACAGCCTCTTTCTCAAATCTGTTAATTACCACTCATGACAATTGGGACTCTGGAACCTTGATCACAGAGATGGTTGTTTTGTGCTAAGTTTGGCTGTTGTGCTCAGCAAATTTATGGGAAGTTTGAAACATAATTTCACCATGATGGAATTCCAGCAGGTAATAATAAAGAGGAAGAAAGTAGGCTTTTTAAGAAAACAATAAGTAGACAGGTAGAACCTTTGTGTTTTTTTTTTAAATCCTGGGGCCTAGTTCATGTGTATATTCTCTTGGCTAAGAAATACTGAAATGATATAGGCTTATTTGTACAGTGAAAAGTAGTTTTCTATTGAAATTAAGTTAGAACTGCATTGCTTGTTTAAACTAATATTTGAAGCACTTAGTCATTTTATTATTAGTAAGTAAAATTGATGAGAAGCTTGGGGAAATGCTTAAGAATAGTCCTTGCGGAGACTTGTGGTTAATAAGAAAAGGGGCAAAGAGATGCATACTAATCTGTTTATGTATTAGGGATCTGGAGCTTATTAAAAGTTTTTACAAACTAATGAAGCATTATATAAAATTAGACATTTCCTCTACAGTGTGAAGTCTATAGACTGGGGAAAAAACCTTCAATGTTATTGCTAAATAATTTATGATATGTTCCCTAACACTAGTAACTTAAGTATAAAAAATTGTTTATAAAAAGGAATATTCCATTAGAATGCCACTCAAGTTTTTCTCTCTCATTCTTGGTTTCTAGAATTATTACAAGATGGAGTAGCATGAATAATCATTATTAACTGCATTTTTTAAATTTTATTGATTATGCCATTACATTTGTTCTATTCCCCCCCTCCATTCCCCTCCACCCTGCACACCCCTCCCCCACCATTCCCCCCTTTAGTTCATGAACAGGTGTCTCAAGTTCTTTAGATTCTATATATTAACTGCATTTTATGGTCTAAGCAGATATCTGGCCAATTAATCTCAACTACTATATAAAACACCAAAACATTATTTCACTTTGAACGTTTTCATTTTTTGGAGGTCTCAGGGAAAGTGGATGGTTTCAAGTTCTCTCTAGGTCCTAAATGATGAGATAATATGTAATGTATACTACACAAATGCAAATCAAGAAATGAATATCAGTAATTATCCGGACAAATATCTAGTCACTGCAAAGTGTAGATAGGTCGGGTTGTCTGGGACAGCTGAGCTGGGGAACATGGCCGGGGACCCCTCTTCTGTGGAATTAGGAGAAGGAAGAAGGATTGTTTCCAGCATTTTTAACCCAAGAGTAATATACATGGGATACTTAGTACATTCTGTGATCATGTTTTAGGTGTCTTTAACGTTCCTAATTTCTCTTTATCTTATTTTCTTCATTTTTGGTAGAGACTGTGCAGTAGAGTTGAGGTTGCATGTGTTTACTTGTCAGATGGAGAGGAATTCAAGTGCCACAGTCACATCTTGATCCTCATCAAACTATTGAACTAATGTTGGCCACAACTTTTTTTCATCTGTATATTGGAAAAAATAGTACTTAATCCTCAGGATTGTTTTGAGGAATAGAGAATATATATAAAGGGACTTACACATTCTGTAAGTGCACATACAATAAATGGTAGTTATTTCTCAAGTTTTCATGCTTATTTTCTTTTATCAGTTGTAGATCACTTACAATTCATATATGATAACCACAATTCAGGAAAAGAAAAACCAAAATATATAGGTCAAATGTATTTATGAGTATACCAAAGCAAATCATTTTCGATTATGTTCTCCCAAAACCCAGGAAAAGTAAACTTTTTAGAAACGTCTGTAGCATATAGTGCTCAATAAATATTATGTATTTAGTATTATTATATTTTCATTATCATTTCACAAACAAGTTTAAGCTTTCTCTGTATACTTTCTTTTAAACCATTCAAAATGTTTATATTCTCTGAATGTCATTTAAGTTTCTAAGCTTGAAACTCTATATCTAGAGCTCAGGCTAAGGGATAATAATGCTAAGACATTGTGAGGGATAGGAAAGAAATATTTTAGCATTGATTGTATGGAATCATATACGAATGAAATCTCAAAAAGACCTGGAGTTCTGCTCAAAAGTTTATGCTTCTTCATCAGAAGTTTATGCACAATATTATTTCATGGTGGATTCTCAAGCTTTTACTCTTATGTTTCCCAACTATATAACTATAAATTAATTTTCAAAGATATATATCCTCTCATTAAAATTGGTTTTCTCACTCATATGTGGGATAGAAAACTGAAAGCAGCAAATGAACAAACAAGAAAAAGAAACAAAAATATACAGACACATAACAGTATGGTGGTTACCAGAGGGGAGTGGGGTGGAGAATAGTAAAGGATAAAGGGGATCAAATATATGCATTGGGTGGTGGCCACACAGTGCAGCATACAAATGATGTGTCATAGAATTGTATACTTGAAACCTATATAATTTTTTAACCAATGTCACCCTAATACATTTAATTTTTTTAAAAGATTGGTTTCTTATATTAGAGACCAGGGGAAAAGAGGCTTAAATAAAAACATTTTATTTCTCTCTAATGAAAAATTTGGAAGTGGGCAATTCAAAGCTGGTATGGCAACTCAGATATCAGGAACTGTAGCACCTTCTTCATTTTTGCCTTCCATTCTTAATACATAAGAGTCTCATGTTTCATCGTGGCTGCATAAGCAACAGGTATCCTATCCTCAATTTAGCTAATAGAAAGGAAGACCGAACAAAGATGGTGAACCCCTTCTTTATAAGGACACCTCCCAGAACCTGTTCTTGACTTCTCACCTTTTCTGTCCTTCACCAGAACTTAGGCACATGGCCACATCTCACTGCAGAAGAGCCTGCACATCTTATTTAGTCTTTATTCTGGGTAGCCTTATGTCCTGGTGAAATTTACAGATTTTATTATTCCCGAAGATGAGGAGACCAGATATGAGGGACAAGTAGGACTCATTGTGATATCTGGGCTTTACCAAAGCTTTTAAAATTCTTTTCTCTTAAGCTTCCTTTCTTCTTCTTTTCTTTTGTAAATAGATCCAATGCGGGGGCCAAGAAAACTGGAAGTAGTAGAAGTCAAATCTCGACAAATCACTATCCGCTGGGAGCCATTTGGCTATAATGTAACTCGTTGCCATAGTTACAATCTCACAGTCCACTACTGTTACCAAGTTGGAGGACAGGAACAGGTGCGAGAAGAAGTGAGCTGGGACACAGATAATTCACACCCTCAACATACGATCACTAACCTCTCACCGTATACCAATGTTAGTGTGAAACTCATCCTCATGAATCCTGAGGGGAGGAAGGAAAGTCAAGAACTGATAGTACAGACGGATGAAGATCGTGAGTACTTGTTTTAAACGTTCTTTTCAGATTGTATTTTTTTAATTTATTGTATTTTTTCCATTACCATTTAATCCCCTTATGCTCCCTCCCCCCTGAAAATATGTTTATGTGAAATCTGTATCCTTTCAAAAAAGCAGCTTTTTAACCTGAGATCTTTATAATGAAACTGGAAGGAAGAACTATTTACTATGTTGAGTAATAAAATGAAAGTATGTATCTTTGCTTTTGAGGACACTGATTAAAAATAGTATGGAGAATAAAGATGTAGAATTTTATTTGAATTCATATTATGAGTCATATAGTTACTTGTCTGTGTATAATAATTCTATATTGCTCTAAATAGTTTTTGGTTCAAGTTTTATTATCATGTTGGACTGAAGACTTATTATTTTGGGTGCTAGATCATTTTTATGAAATGTTTATTTTAATATATTTAAAGGAGTATCTGAAATATTTTTCATAGTTCGGATAAAAATCCAGCTGAAAATAGAGGCTGCCCTTACTTTTCAGTGCAGTGCTGAGAAAACAACTCATTAGGTTTGCGGTCATGAAATAGATCATCTTTTCTCATAGGAACAGTATTATAATTGGGTATTACCTTAATAGACAAAATTTAGCAAATAAACTACACACATTACCATGACTCATCAATAAAAGTAAATATACAATTGCAATTAATCTCTAAAATAATTTTAAAAAGTGAAATTACATCTCAAATCTGATAGCATGGATATAAACGTATTTTTATGTGGATTATACAGGGGATATACAATCATGTACTCGCACAGCATGTAAAATGCAGTGGAAGTGTATCATATATTTGACCTAAAATTCATTTGACAGGCATCAGTGTATGTCTCCAATGAACTTGGAAAGCTCATAAAATAAATGTACTTACTTATTCTTGGGGATAAAATGTACATGTTTAATTTTTTTGTTTCTTCATGTAGCGGATTATGGTATTTGATCATTGATTATAACAAATTAAATATTTGTAACACTTTATTATTTCATTTGAAGAGCTAACAAATTATTTTAAGTATTTGTTGTATTGCCTGTACAATACCATGTATATTGCTCAAGAAGAAAAGCATGGAAATAGCCAAAGTAAGTGAGGGACTCACCGCACATCCTTCTGTTTTGTTTTGTTTTGTTTGGTTTGGTTTTGTTTTGTTTTTCTTGTATTCATTTAAAGTCCTTCCATGCTTAAAATAGTTGGTTGCTGTCAAATAGTTGTTTTGCTACAATTATTTTTGTTTAGGAGTATTAGTTTTATAGTAGTTAGGGCTGAGACTGGAAACCCTATCTCTGTTTCTTCCAACTCTTCCTCATCTTGCAGGAAATAAGAATGAAGGTGTCAGTATTGTCAACAGGTTATCCCTCAACCCTTTCTCCCCTGCATTTCAATGTTTAATTTGATTCTGACTCCTATTATACCTACTTCCATGATATTAGACTGTTCTTTTCTCTCAACTTCTACAGTATATATATATATATATATATATATATATATATATATATATATATATATATATATATATATTCAGATTCTCATTATTTTATACTGAAATTTCTGTAATAGTTCCTACCCTTTCTTTTCAGTTCCAGCTTTTCCCCATTCTAATATCACCTTACTCACTCACTAAACTAATCATTAAAACATATTTGCATCATGTCACTCTCTCCACAAGAATCTTCAATGACTCTTTATCCAGTTCTTGACTTCCAAGGTCTTCTGTGTTCTTGACTTATACTCTAAAACTAAAAACTTTCTCCATTGCAGCTCATTCTGCAAAAATGTCACCTCAGCATCTGTCCTTTATGCCACACTTGTTATATCCCTGGCTCCTCGTCATCTCCTGTTGTCATCCACCACCTGCCCTTCTACCTGGCTGCCTTTCAATTCCATCTCCTCCACTACCCTCGAAAGATCTCAGGTTTCAAGTCCTTCATAAAGCTGTCTCCAACTCTTCCAGCCCTACTTTTCTCTCATCCTTCAGACCTTTTTTGCATTTATTTGGTCTTTAAATCTCTGAGCCTTAATTTCCTCATCTGGAAGGTTGAGAATAACTATAATAATCAGGCATATTAGGGTTAGAAGCAATTTACATAGACAGCTTTTGTAGCTGCCAGATAGGGTTCATTAGTTGATGAGTATACTTATTGTTGTAATAATTCAAAGCAGCTAATCATGTCCCTTCCTTGTTCTCTCCTTGTTATATACAATATTTTTCTCTTAACTATAAACTACTTGAGAGAAGAAGCCATCTGTTTTTCTTTTATAGCAATATACATAACATAGAGTAAGTAATAAATGCTCAAAGATTTTTATTAGTCTTTAAATAAAACAATAAAGATTGTTGATAATCATTTAATTTATATTTTAATCAACAGTAATGTTTTAATCAATGAGAGAAGGTTATATATGCAGTCATTTCTAGAGATGAGCAGATATATCTTTCTGAAGCATAAAACCACTCAATATGTTTAGGTTTCAAATTGAGAACAAACATGAGCTAGAAATGGAATGACTTAGTTTTTTGTTTGTTTAAATGATCTTGCTAGTCTCTGAACTTAGGACATGTATTATTTGCCACATAAAAATATATTATTTTTATAGCACATTGGCATCTTGTTAATTAGAAAAACTTTTTATTTTTAGTTTTTTTATTGTTCTTCCTCTCACCACTCATCTCCACCTTCCACTCTCTATCCCATTCCCCATTGGCTTTGTCCATGAGTCCTTTATGCATGTTCCTTGACTACCTTTCTCCTTTCCCTGTTATTTTTCTCCCCCACCTCTGGTTACTGTCAGTGTGTTCTTTTGTTTTCTTTTTTCCTTTTTTATCTTTTTTTATTGTTGTTCAAGTACAATTGTCTTCATTTTTTTACCACCACTCCCCGCCTCACCCCAGCCATTCCCATCTCCCACCCCTTTTTGGCTTTGTCCATGTATCCTTTATACATGTTCCTCATGACACATCCTCCTTCCCTCCCACTATCCCCTCCCCCTCCTTTCTGGTTACTATCACTTTGTTCTTTATTTCAATGTTTCTGGTTATGTTTTTCGTGCTTGTTTATTTTGTTGATTAGGTTCCACTTAAAGATGAGATCATATGGTATTTCACTTTCTCAGCCTGGCTTACTTCACTTAGCATAATGCTCTCAAGATCCGTCCATGCTGTCAGGAAGAGTACGAGCTCCTTCTTTCTTTCTGCTGCGTAGTACTCCACTCAGTTTGTTCTTTATTTCAGTGTCTCTGGCTATAGAAAAACTTTTATTTCAAACTATGTTTCCTAACAACAACCACAACAAAAATACTGGAAAAAATATAGAGAAAAGAATAATGTAAATAGAATAATTGTCAACAATACTGTATTTGAAGAGAAAAGAATGGTGTGGTCACTACTTATATACCAACATTGTCAATTTTATTTTTATTTTTTAATATATTTTATTGATTATGCTATTAGAGTTGTCCCATTCCCCCCCTTTATTCCCCTCTTCCCTGCACACCCCTCTCCCACCAGCATTCCCCACCTTAGTTCATTTCCATGGGTTGTACATTTAAGTTCTTTGGCTTCTCCATTTCCCATACTATTCTTAATCTCTCCCTGTCTGTTTTCTACCTACCATGTATGCTACTTATTCCTTGTACTTTTTCCTCCATTCTTCCCCCTCTCTCCCCCTGTTGATAACCCTCCATGTGATCTTCAGTTCTGTGAATTTGTTCCTGCTCTAGTTGTTTGTTTTTCTTTTTCTTTTTGTTTTAGGTTCAGTGGTTGATAGTTCTGAGTTTGTTATCATTTTACTCTTCATATTTTTATCTTCTTTTTCTTAGATAAATCCCTTTAACATTTCATGTAATAAGGGCTAGGTGATGATGAACTCCTTTAACTTGACCTAATCTGAGAAGTACTTTATCATTCTAAGTGATAGCTTTGTTGGATAGAGTAATCTTGGATGTAGGTCCTTACCTATCATGCCTTGCAATACTTCTTTCCAGCCCCTTCTTGCCTTTAAGATTTCTTTTGACAAATCAGTGGATAGTCTTATGGGAGCTACGTTGTAGGAAACTCTCTCCTTTTCTCTTGCAGCTTTTAAGATTCTCTCCTTATCTTTAATCTTAGGTAATGTAGTTATGATGTGCCTTGGTTGTGCTTCCTGAATCCAACTTCTTTGGGACACTGAGCTTCCTGAACTTTCTGGAAGCCTATTTCCTTGGCCAGACTGGGGAAGTTACCCTTCATTATGTTATCAAATAAGTTTTCAAATTCTTGCTCTTCCTTTTCTCCTTCTGACACCCCTATCATTCACACGTTGGAATGTTTAAAGTTGTGGCAGTAGTCCCTAAGCCTCTCCTCATTTTTTCTGAATTCTTATTTCTTCATTCTGTCTGGTTGACTATTTATTTCTTTCTTCTTCTCCAAACTGTTCATTTGAGTTCCAGTTTCTTTCCCATCACTGTTGGTTCCCTGTACATTTTTCTTTATTTCACTTTGCATAGCCTTCACTTCATCCTCTATTTTGCAACCATACTCAACCATTTCTATGAGTATCCTGATTACTAGTTGTTGTGTTTTTTTTTACTTCTGCATCTGATAGGTTAACTGTCTCTTTATCACTTATTTCTATTTTTGGAGCTTTGATCTGTTTTTTCATTTTGGGCCATAATTTTTTTTTTGTCTTGGCACAGCTATTATGTTGTAAGGGGCAGAGCCCTTGGTATTAGCCAGGGCGGGGCAACCCACTTGGTAGTTTTGTGGTGATGTATGTTGGGGAGGGGTCAGAGAGGGAACAATGCCACCTGCTGGGCTCTCAGTTAACTTCAGTCACTTCCTTTGCTACCCACAAGCAAATTGGACCCTTATGGTGCTGATTCCTGGGTGAGTGGGCTTGTGTACCTTATAACCTTGTAGACCTCTAACCAATGAACCAGTGAACTAACCACTGAGGCTAGGAGTTTCAGGGCTAGGAGTAACAGAGGCTAACCAGTAAACTCTCCTGTGAGGCTAGGAGTTTCTATCACTGCCACAACCCCAACAGGTTTTTACAGTCAGAAGTTTTGAGGTTTTATTTCCCTGTGCTGGAATGCTTGGTCATGCAATCTGTTTTGCTCCCCAGTTGTGTCTCTTGGTTTATCTGCATGCAAATGTTGGACCTCCTGGTCTGAAAGCCACTGCCTTGCTGTAAGCCCTCTCTCACCTGGCTGCCTGTCTCTACCCCTCCTACCAATCTGAATGAATTTTTGTTCTTTAACTCCTTGATTGTTGGACTTCCATACAGATCGATTTTCTGGCAGTTCTGGTTATTTTTTGTTTTTAAGTTTGTAGGTGACCTTCTATTGGTTGTGTAAGGAGGAAAAGTATATCTGCCTTTGCCTCCATCTTGGCCAAAAGTTTCCAACATTGTGAATTTTATTATAGTATAGTATTTTTATTGAAATATTATTTATTTCATGAGAAAGTTTATAGAATAGATTTATTTTTATTACCATTTAGGGTATCACAAAGCAGAATAAGGCTCACTTCCAAAAACTTAGGTCTTAGGACCAAATATCCCAAATCCTGAAATCCTAGAACTTTTAAAATAGGTAATAGACTTAAGTTCCCATGAGGTACCATATTCTCCCTAAGAGTTCTTTCCTAATCCAAGATCATGAATATTTATACCTATGTTTTCTTCTAAGAGTTTTGTAGTTTTAACTCTTACATTTAGCTCTTTAATTTTGATATATTTTTTATACATGGTATGTAGTAAGAATCCAACTTCATGTTTCTATATGTGGATATCCAATTGTTAAACACCACTTGTTGAAACATTAGTCTCTCCCCACTGAATTTTCCTGGCACCCTTGATAAAAATCAATTGACTGCAAGGTAGAATTTTATTTTTGTACCTTCAATTCTATTCCACTGATCTATAGGTCAGTTCTTAGGCTAATAACACAATGTCGTGATCCTGTAGCTTTATAGTAACTTTTGAAATCCAGAACTGTGAGTTCTTCCCAACTACTTTTTCATTATTCTCACCATTACAAACAATTTTGACCATGATCCCCAAATATATGTACATTTGTAAGTAGTATTTTTATACTGGTTTATAAATAGGGTCAAAACACTAATATACTGAATCATGTATAAAATAAATCATACTTAATATTGAATTTATATAAAGATGAGATAAACATATCTTTAATGTTAAATGTTATTTTTTAGAAGGTTGGCAAGTAAGTTTCTATCTTACCTTATGTCTATTAGATTTTCTTATAAAAGAGTCAAAAGGTGTTATAATTTTAGGTTTTAAAGAAACGGCATCAAACTTTCCCATATCTCTTATATTATAAATAAATAAATAAATATTTTAAATATCTATATCAAATATTTATAAAGCTTCTAGTTAGTGTATATATTTTTCCATGTGTTGTTTTTCTTCTTTTTTAATTTTAATTGTTGTTCAAGTACAGTTTTCTGCCTTTTACCCCCATCCTAGCCCACCCCCAAATCCTCCCCACCTCCCTCTCATTTCCACCCCCCCTTGTTATTGTCCACGTGTCCCCCATACTTGTTCCTGCAGACCCTTCACCCTTTTTCCCTAAAATTCCCTCCCCTCTCTCCTCTGGACACTGTCAGCCTGTTCTCAATATCAGTGTCTTTGGTTATATTTTTCTTGTTTGCATGTTTTGTTGATTAGGTTCCTGTTAAAGGTGAGATCATATGGTATTTGTCTTTCACCACCAGGCTTATTTTGCTTAGCATAATGCTTTCCAGTTCCATCCATGCTGTCACAGAGGATAGGAGCTCCTTTTTTCTTTCTGCTGCATAGAATTCATTATGTAAATGTACCATAGTTTTTGGATCCATTCATTTACTGATGGGCACCTGGGTTGCTTCCAGCAATTGGCTATTGTAAATTGTGCTGCTATGAATATTGGGTTGCATAGGTACTTTTGGATTGGTGTTTCAGGGTTCTTAGGATATAATCCTAGCAGTGGAATTGCAGGGTCAAAAGGCAGTTCCATTTTTAGTTTTCTGAAGAAATTCCATACTGTTTTCCATAGTGGTTGTACCAGTCTGCAGTCCCACCAACAGTATACTAGGGATCCCTTTTCTCCACAACCTTTCCAACACTTGTTGTTTGTTGCTTTGTTTATGATGGCCATTCTGACCTGCATGAGGTGGTATCTCATTGTGGTTTTAATTTGCATCTCTCTGATAGCTAGCGATATTGAGCATCTTCTCATGTATCTCTGGACCCTCTGTATGTCCTCCTTGGAGAAGTGTCTGCTCAAGTCTTTTGCCCATTTTTTAATTGAGTTGCTTGTCTTCTTAAAATTGAGTCATATGAGTTCTTTGTACATTTTGGAAATTAAACCCTTGTCTGAGGTATCATTGGCAAATATGTTTTTTCATATGGTTGGTTATCTTTGTATTTTAATACTGTTTTCTTTAGCCATGCAGAAGCTTTTGATTTTGATGAGATCCCATTTGTTTATTCTTTCCTTTATGTCCCTTGCTCTAGGGGACATAGAAGTAAAAATGTTGCTGCATGGAATATCTGAGGTTTTCCTGCCAATGTTCTCCTCTAGGACTTTAATGGTATCAAGACTTATATTTAAATCTTTTATCCACCTTGAATTTATTTTTGTGTATGGTTTAAATGGGTGCTTGAGTTTCATTTTTTTGCATGTAGCTGTCCAGCTCTCCCAGCACCATTTGTTGAAGAGGCTATTTTTACTACATTCTATGTTGCTGCCCCCTTTGTCGAATATTAATTGCCCATAGAGAGTTGGGTTTATTTCTGGGCTCTTTGTTCTTTTCCATTGGTCTGTCTGTTTTTATGCCAGTATCAGACTGTTTTGATTACAGTTGCCTTGTAATATAGTTTGGTATCAGGTATTGTGATCCCTCCTACTTTGTTCTTTCTCAAAATTGCAGCAGCTATTTGGGGTCATTTATGGTTCCCTATAAATTTTTGAGGTACTTGTTCTATGCGAAATATTCCATTGGTACTTTAATAGGTATTTCATTGAATCTGTAAATTGTTTTGTTTAGTATGGACATTTTGATGATGTTAATTCTTCTAATCCATAGCACAGTATATGTTTCCATTTGTTTGTATCTTCCTTGATTTCTTTCTTCAGTGTTGGGTAATTTTCTGAGTACAGGTCTTTTACCTCCTTTGTTAGGTTTATTCCTAGGTAGTTTATTTTTCTTATTGCTATATCAAATGTGATTTCTTTCCTGATATCTGCTTTTGATGTTTCATTGTTGGTATACAAAAATGCCTGTGAGTTCTGCATATTGACTTTGTAACTCGCTGTTTTGCAAAATTCATTTATTAGGCCAAGCAGTTTTTTGGAATAATCTATAGGATTTTCTATGTACAAGATCATGTCATCTGCAAACAATGACAGTTTTGTTTCTTACCTTCTGATATGAATGCCTTTTACTTTATTTTCTTGTCTGATTGCTGTGGCTAAAACTTCCAGTACTTTGTTGAATAGAAATGGTGCATGTGGACAACGTTGTCTTGTTCCTGATCTTAGTGGAAATGATTTTAGTTTGATTCAGTGTAAATTTTAATGATACATTCATAAAAGTACAGTAGGTCATCTATATTCTTGGACATGCTTTTGTCACTCATGTTATACTTGTCATTTATTTTCAATCATTTTGCATTTTATTGTTTTAATATTAAAAGGAAATAATTCATTAAACTGATTGGTTTATCTCAATTTTATTAGTTTTATTTTAAAATGCTTCTAGTTTGACATCCTAGTAGTATATGTTTCCTGGAACATATGTACAAGAACATTACTAGAGACTATTCCTGGAGATTGGGTTATTGGATTGTATGATACATGCTTCTTTAACTTTACTTAAATACAGCCATTATTTTCTAAAGTGGCTGTACCGATTTATGCTCTCACAAGCAATGTGTGGGAGTTCTCATTGCTCTACAGCCTTCTTTGTTTGTTTTTGAAGAATTAAAAAGTTTATTTAAAAGTCGATTTCTGAGTTTCATCTAATTGATTCAAACCTTAAAGAAAAAATGAGAGAATTTTGTTTCTTTATAGGAAAGTGTAGTCAAATGGTTTTGAATTTTAGATTTTTTAAAGAAAATTAAGTATATCTATGTATTATTAAAATCTTATGCTTCAATAAAGAGTTAAAAATCTATCAAGTCTAGAAATACCTTTTTTTTGCTTTGTTTATTAATCATATATTGATTTCTTTTTTCCCCTTCTAGTGCCAGGTGCTGTTCCTACTGAATCCATTCAAGGAAGCACCTTTGAAGAGAAGATATTTCTTCAGTGGCGAGAACCAATTCAAACATATGGTGTCATCACTTTATATGAGGTAGTTCATGCATTCGTTAGTCACTTAATTTTTGTTATATTTTCTATGGCAGCTAGACTATCTAGTATTTAAAAATTCATAATAGCATCATGTCTTTTAAGAAGTTTAATACTTTGAACAGTTATAATGGTGACTGTGTAGGAGAAAAAATAAAAAATGAGGTTTTGAATTATGTGTATTTTCAGTACGCATATTTATAATGATTCAGATGTTTCCAGATTATATATTATACATAAAGATACAAGGTAATATACTTTTCAATCTTTATTAAAAACAATAAGTATTTTGAAGTATACATTGATTAGGAGGCAACCACAGAATCCTATTCTTGCTGAGTATAAAGTAGTTTACTACTGAATTATAGAAGAATGCCGATTATTCAATTAGGAAAGTCAATAGATCTTGTCTCAGAAGTAACAATAGAATAATGTCTTTTGGTTTCTTAGTATTAGGAAAACATATGTTAGACATCTGTGACATAGTTTGTCTACTGAGGCATAGCAAATAGTTGAATGATAGATAACAAAGAAGAATTTGATGAATTGTTCAAGGAAGAAAATAATAGCAATAATGGGGTGACAGTCATCCTCACATCTGTATGAGCATCATTTTGCGGTGCTTATTGTCATAGAAACAAGAAGGTGCATTTTTTTAAGCAAGCATTTATCTGAATGCAAATTCAACAAATTATATGTTGTTAGGTTTCTAAAACTCACGACAGCTATGTCTGTGGCATCTCTGCTTGAATACCTCTTAGAACTACTGACAATAGCCTGAGCAGATTAGCTGTCAGACAGTAATTGCTGCTAACCCCCTTTCCTGACCCTCCTAGCCTCACATTGACTTTGCCTCATACCTTTTGAAAATTGGTATTGAAATGCAAAAAAATTGCTAATTGAAAGCCAAACAAAGTAAGGTAAGAGATGAAAGAGCTATCATGTTAAGTTATATATGCTTCATTGTAAAAGAATCAATGTTATGGAAATTTATGTCTTAAAAGAGTTAAGTTTTATAATTAAATCAGACAAGTTCATACTTTTTTTCTCCGTGAACAGAATCCTTTTCTTTAACATTTTTGACCCATGACCATTTTTTGGTCTCAGTTTTGGGAATTCTTGCCATCACGAATAACTGGGTTTTTGGTTTTTTTTTTTTACCAGAAAAGATACAGTCTTTGAAGTCAACTTAAGTTCCAAGAAATAAATTCACCTCTCCAAGGGCTGCATGTTGGTATCTAGACAGACAGAAAGAAATATCCAGATTCTTTCTTTCTGATCCCACTGAAATATATCTTTGTGTAATAAAGTAACTTTAATGTGGGAACAATAGGAATAATAATTCAAAAGAAGACCCCATTAATCTCTCTGCTTCAGCAGCCAGGATCTCCCAGCTGAACACTGATCTGAATGTTCCTACAATGCATTGAGGGATGTGTGGAAATGTCATCAATCAGAGTTTTCAAAATCAGATGTAGGCTAGTAAAGCAGGTTGTTTCATTTTTCTAGACACCAAAGAGAAAATGTCAAATATGTGTACCAGGCTTAAGTAATTAAATATAAGTTTTCTGACCACCAAATTTTTCTTTCCCTTTTGTCCATGTTTTTTTAGAAATAGGAAGGAGGGAGTTCCAGTTTTCTCAAGGTAGGCCTTAGATGGGGTCTCAGGAGGGAGCTGTTCTTTAGGGAAGAAGCACTGCTTACTGTGATTCACTCAGCCTGTGTCAAAGTCAGCGATAGACAGAGCTTCCTCCTGGAGCCAAGCACTGATGTTGAACCAGACTCGGTTCCCTCTCTGGATGGCTACAGCCTCCTGAGACAGACATCATGTTAAGGAAATAGAAGAGTAACCCAAAGGGAAGCAGGGACCTTAGGAACAGTGTATTATGTCATAGAAACACATTTGCCTACAGGTAAAAACTGGAAGGAGAGCTAAATGATCATAGTTGGAAAGAAGCTTAGCAATAAATGACACAGGTGTTTCTTTGGCAGGGAGCCCACTTAGTGTTTGAAGGGGAGAAGAAAAACAGACTGAATGGTATAGATGTTAAAAATGAATATGCTATAAACTTAGGTTATTCTCAAGTTCTCTCTTTACTTACCAACCATTAGTAAGTGAAAAATGCTGACATTGTCATTTTTCCCAGGAGTTATAGCAATTAACAGCATTAAAGCATTCTCCTGGCCGTATTCTTTGTCCTCTCCTTTGTGTTCCTGTGATGTCCACCTTCAACATCTCAAACTAGGCTTTCCTTTCCCTTCTCCTTGCCTTTCTTCTACCTCCAACCCCTCTCATAGCTTACATCCTGATCACCCACTTAATTTTATCAGTTATCTTCTAAAACCTTGACTGATAATTATGTTCTTCCTTGATAGCTATCAAAATTTTTATTTTTATGAAATTACAATTGTAATATTGATCTCTGAAGGGAGCAATAAAATATCCTTGCTTCCCAATTTCACTTTTCAGAGGTAACTACTGTTAACAACTGTATGCTCTTGCAAAATTATACCAGGTAGAAATTACAGTGTAAGTTTTCATTTATAAATATAGATTGGCTAAAATTTAATGAATGTTAGTAAACCAGCATTTCATTACAAAAATAATATGCTGTGCCCTGGCTGGTGTAGCTCAGTGGATTGAGCATGGGCCTGTGAACCAGACAATTGCGGTTCGATTCCCGGTCAAGGCACATTCCTGTGTTGCAGGCCAGTTCCCTGCAGGCCAATTCCCAGCAGCGGACGCACGAAAGGCAAACATACATTGATGTTTCTCTCCCTCTCTCCTTCCCTTTCCCTCTAAAAGATAAATAAATAAAATTTTTAAAAAATAAAATAAAATAATATGCTGTGTAAGAACCCCACCTCACATCATACCAAAAAAATGCCACATACATTCAGGATCTAAACACAAAAATTAAACTGTAAGAAAACATGGATGACATTTTTGTAATACAGTCAAACCTTGAACAGCAGAGGGTTGAGGCACTAACCCCCCACACAGTCAGAAATCGACATGTAAATTTTGACTCTCCCAAAACGTAAGTCTTCCCTTGGTATCCACAGGGGATTGGTTCTAGCACCATTGTGGACCCCAAAACCCTGAGATGCTCAAGTCCCGTATATAAAATGATGTCAAACAATGTATACAGTTAGCCCTCTACATCTGTGGATTCGCAATCTACCTCAGATCAAAACTACTGTTTTTAATCTTTGGTTGATTGAATCCATGGATGAGGAACCTGTACATACAGTGGACCAACTATATATTTATTGACAAATATCCACATGTAAGAGAACCCATGCAGTCAAACCCATTACCAAGGGTCAACTGTTTATCTTTCTGTGTTTGACGTAAAACCCATTAAGTCTTTTCAAAAGATTGACAAACTTGTTTACATAAGAATTTAAACTTCTGAATAATGAAAGATAGCATGAAGAAAGTCTAAACACAAACATAAGACTTGGGGAAATTATTTTCAACATTTATAGCAGTCAACAGGCTGGTGGCTATCACATATGGACTTGATGTAGATTTAATAAAACAATAGACAAAACACTCCATTAGAAAAAATAAAGAGGAGGAAACTCATAGGAAAAAATCCAAATGGCATGTAAGTACATGAAAATATATCTTCTCAACCTTACTAATGATAGAGAAATGAAGTAAGTGTTACAAAAAGTTTAAACTGTAAAGATCAAGTATTAGGCAGCAGCTTGGGGAAATGTATTTCTGCATAAACTGTTGATGGGAGCATAGCACTTTGCAACCTCTTATATAGTATCTCATCAAAATTTGAACATTGCATATCATATCAAGCTTATTTCTAGATGTTTGTCAATCAGTATTACTCCCGAATATGCAGGGGTATATTTCCAGCCATTTTCATTATAATTCACACAGCTCTTGGTTGACTAGGGAGAAAACTCCAAACTCCTGGTCATGGGAGTAATACATCAACCAGTTTGTTTTTTAATTCGGTGTGTGTAAGGTGTTGGAAGAAGACAAAAGTACAGAAAATACTGCCCTTTCCTACTACAAGTAACAGTTCTAACAGCAACTAACTATAGAGAGAATGAAATTAGTGCCGAATGTAAATCAGTTTAACATGTGAATAGAGTATAGAGTGGAGTGTTTAGAGTGGAATGTTTGCTTGGGCCCAGAGTAAAGCAGAATGTCTGTCTGGACTTCCTAGCTGAGTGGGGCACTGATGGATCAAGAGTTGAAGAAAGGCGCTTCAAGGTCCAGCACATGGGTAACTGGGCTCAGTTAGTTCATCACTGTTGACTGAGATAGGTAGTAGTGTGGAAAGAAGTAGAATTTAGAGGCCACGTTACAAATTTTCATTGTAGTATCCAAGGTCTTCTGTGATCTAATGCCAATTTATATTTATTACTGCAACTCCCATTATTTTTCTCCTGGAATTTAATAAGTGTGTCTATGGGATTTTTTTTTCTCCAAAACCCTTCAGAATTATCACAGCATCTTGCTTTTACTTAATACAGCAGTCCCCCCTTATCTACAATGAGTACATTTCAAACATCCCCAGTGGATGCCTAAAAACATGGATAGCACCCAACCGTACATATACTGTGTTTTTTCCTATGCATCACACCTTTTCACATAAAGGAAGCACCTTAAGGCTTCTCTGGCACACCTGATCGCCAGTATCACTCCTGTGCTGTGAGTAAGGGTGACTTGAACACAGGCACTGCAGTCCCTCAACAGTCAATCAGATAACTGGGATGGCTGACTGAGTAGTGGCTAAGCAGGGTGTGCGTACAGCGGGGAGACCCTGCACGGAGGGAAGATTCATGTCCCCAGACGGGATGAAGCAGGACAGTTTATATTTCATCACACTTCTTAGAACAGCATGCAGTTTAAAACTTATGAATTATTTCTGGATTTTTCCATTTAATATTTTCAGACTATGCTTGACCCTGGGTAATGAAACTGCAGGAAGAAAAACTCCTCTGTTACCCACCCCCCACCAATATTCTTTAGCTTAGCACCCCTGTCTATTTCTTCTATAGAACTTGGTGTTTTAAAATTAATTTACTTATTATCTTTTTACCCATCTGCACTCACCCCAGATTCTCAGTTACCTGAGGGCAGGGCCCATGCCCACCTGCTGACCACAGCGCTCCCAGAATGTGTGCTAAGCGCGTCAGTATGTGAACAGAGTGAGTGGAGCTGCAGAAGGAAACAGGACAGAGATAACCCTATGGTGTTGCAGGCAGACAAAAGTTAGTGAGCAAAAGCAGTCAGAAAAGCCCAGTACCTGTTTGTAGCAGAGTAACCAGGACAGAAGGTAATATAATGTCATCATGTCAAGTATTCAGAAATAAGTTTGGGGAAGATGTAGGCAGGTCTTAAACACAAAGTTGGGGAGTCTGGACTTTGTCTGAAATACAAGTACATTCGTGTCTCATTAAAGTGTTTAACGAGGCAGTAAAATGAAGATTAACCTAGCCCTGGTGGGCAGTGCTAGTGCTGATTTGAAGTACACTGTCTCATAATTATTGAATTGCTTCTCTCCTTCCCTCAGACTGTTACCTCCTCCAGGGCAGGTATCGTGTCTGAATCACCATATGAGACCCTAGCTCAGAGCACAGTGCCTGGGGCATAGGAAGCATGCAGTTAACAAAGGAGTAAATGAACTGAGCACACAGCAGGACAGTACTCAAGTTCCAGCCACAGCAGCTGTGCGGTAGATGTGGTCTTGTCTCTTGACTCAGAGTAACCTTGTGAGGGAAACTTGCCAGAGGGTTAACAACAGATGCACAGCCTGGCTCTGAGAGTGCCAGTCATCGCAGGGATTAATATATATAGCAAACGTTTTCTTGCCAAAGCTTAGTTGACTCAATCTAAATATTCTTTCAGAGAGGTCTCCTTAATTATAACGATATGGTATAAACAAAGAAGAAAGAATGTCAATTATCACTTCATATAATAACAGTGTTAGTGTTCTTGCACGTAAATTATATGTAAGTTTGCCTATTTAAAAGCAAGGGAAGTGTTCAGTTTTCTAATTTAAAACTTTTGAATATTTCACATTTAAAAATTATGTCATTACAATTGGTAGAAGTTAGTAATCACCTCTAAAATTGTATGCTCTTGAATAGTTGATGAACTGCTTATAGTGAAATTCTTTTAAAATTCATTTAAAAGGCACCTACATCATATTTATGTTCACACATTCCAGACCCCCCAGCATGCTTTGAACACCTGTCATGTGGCAAATATGGGGAAAGCTGCTGGAGTCTCACTGTTCAAAGTGGCAGCTCCTACTCACAAGTGGCAATTTAAATTTTAGTTAATTTAAATTATATTAAATTACATTTTAAGTTCCACAGTCTCACTAGTCACATTTCGAGTGCCACAAAGCCACTCGTGGCTAGTGGCTACCATATTCCAATAGTGCAGAACAGAACATATCCATCATGAGAGAAAGTTCTATTGGACAGCTATAAATAAAAGATGTAAATACGACCCAGCATGAGGACTAGTCACAGCATCAGGAACTACTGACACTGTCTAGGATTTATTTTTGGAGCAGATATCTTTGTCCACAGTGGTAAAAACACTAAAAGTATACTCGTTTCCAAGAGACGGTAATCTGCTCAGTGCTAAATCAAACTGTGGCCACTACATGTGAGATGAGGCCTTACCCTTGTCAGGTTCTTATCTATTTGAGCTCATTGCATATTTTATTATTTTGTTTGAAACCAGCTGTAATGTGGTTTTCCAAAATGACATTTTGAAGACAAACAACTTCAAGGTATTAGCTTCAACCTAAACTCATCCTTTATGTTCTAATCTACTGGCTTTAAGTTCCTCTGTCTTTAAAAGTAATAACTCATAACAGTTTTGGCTGAGTTCCTGTGCCCCTTCACTGGATCTAGGATTTGAAGAGTCTAAGTGAAAATGAGAGCTTATCATAAAGTGTGTAACAGTGCATTCACCAAGGGGGTTTATTGGATAAAGATGCAATCCTGAACTATCTGCTTCAGATACTTAGTCACATTCTTATTCTCTTGCAGATCACCTACAAAGCAGTCAGTTCCTTTGACCCAGAAATAGACTTATCTAATCAAAGTGGAAGAGTTTCAAAACTGGGAAATGAAACCCACTTTCTGTTTTTTGGACTGTACCCGGGGACAACATACTCCTTTACCATCCGAGCCAGCACAGCTAAGGGGTTTGGACCTCCAGCAACAAATCAGTTCACCACCAAAATATCAGGTATTTCATCAGAGTTACATCTTTTACCAAAAGTGGCATTTTGTACTTTTTTGTTCCCATTGTCAGGTATGCAGAGCTCACCCAGATTTATACATTATATTCAGATGAATACTTTCAGATGTCTGAATATCAGAATTATGGAATTAAATGAAATATTACAAATATTATAGCTTGGGAGCTTAAGGCCCTTCCATATTAAGAAGTAGCCACTGTTTCAACAGTTTGTGTTGGAGCACTTGGACATGAGCAGAAGGTTCTGTTCTGCTCACTGTTACCCCCTTCACAGTCCCGATTACCAGAACAACACTGTTGAAACAACCTCTGTAATGATTCATAAATGATTGAGTGCACAACAGAAAGACAGCATTATATAGAGTTCAGTGCCAGAAGGATCAGCCAGCCTTCTCTGGGACCTTCACCATCAGTAGTTTCCTGTTCTAAAGAGAAAGGCGACTACAGGAGAGTTGCACCAGGCACTTATAGCCTCTAGCTTTTTGCTTGTACAGACTCAATTACACCATCCAACAAAAGATATCATTTGAGAAATATTTCTGGGCATATGCAACTGTGCAGAAAATTTCTTTGTGCTTTAGACTAGAGGAAATGGAGTTGCCATCTGGTGTGGGATATGTAACAGCACTAAACACATTCCATGGACATTTTCTTTTTCCATTTTTCCCCCATGGGTATGAGTAAGGGAAGTATTTGACTTTGGGCTTAATTGTTTTGGTTGGGGGTAGATGAACAGAAGGCGGGTGAGGGAGGTGGTAACTTAGTCAGGGGTAGCTATGTAATATTTAGCCTGATTTCATAGATATTGTCCCTCATTCCTAGTTTTACAAGTTTTGTTTGGAAATGAAGGAAAGAAAATAAAACTAAAGTAATGTAAGTGTTTTACTAGACTTTGAAGGAGGAAGGCTTGGAATTTTGTTTTTAAGCAATTATAACTTAAATGGAATTTTTTCATTGTGTAAAATTTGATTTATGAGCATAAACTTGACTTGAAGTTTAATACACACCTGATCCTTGATATGAAGCATTAGGTTATAAGAACAATGGAGATTTGGGAAAGAGGAAGAAGTCCTTGGGACGTTAGAAAAATGACATAGGGTACAGATGAGTGACCTGAGAGGCTCCTGGACTTGGATTCTGAAAGTATGGGTTCTGGTTACAATTTTCTATGTACTTCCTCTCTGATTTTAATCAAGTGAATTTACTCCCCGATATGTATTAAGATGACAGTATCTGGCGCAAGGATTTATCATGGAGATTTAAAGAGGAAATGTGTATTAATGTCTACTCCTCCAGGGCCCCTTTTATTTGTAATTTTCTCCTGTGATTACCATATTTCAAAAGATTATTATCTTAAAGGATCTGTTCTTTCAGAAAAACAATTCATTTTTACTATTTTTATTAAATAAAAATTCTGGTCGATATAGGCCTGAGCACTGTGCGCCCACCAGGTTCATACAACCCTATCCAAAAGCAAAGATAGTTGACATTTTAATTAGCCTAAACAGCCTAAATTAGCCTATTACATCAAGAATAAATGTGTAATTTTTATAGTTCAAAAAAATTGCAATTTATGGGCCCCTACTTTCTATGTTCATGGATCTCAGATAATTACACTCTATACAAAATGTAATTCTGTATTATGAATTTGAGTTGATTTTTAATGGAACTGGAGTTAATTTTTAATGCTGAGAAAATTCAATAAATGGAACTGAGATCTAGCCCATGTCTTTTACATAAAATCTTTTTATATATCAGAGATTTTAAAAACTATATTCGTAGAAAGATCTCTAGTGTTCTCATCAGGTTCCTGTAACCTGTGGGTCATAAAGAGACCTTGTGCCCTCTCACATCCCAGCCTTTATTAAACGATTTCCCTCATCCATGGTGGTGACAGAATTACCCGAGAGCTCTGTTGTTGTCTTCTCACAGTAAGAATTAACCATCCAGAAAGCAAGTAATGCCGTGAAATGGCCTTGGAAATAGGATTCACATTGGAAAACTAACATTTATAGAATTGTATTTTCTGGGCTCTCTTTATATATTGTTTTGAATTTTTATAATAGTCATAGAGGATAATTTCTCCTATTTTAAAGATGAGTAAACTAAAAGTTCCTCAAATAATGTGCTGAAGCTCTTATGCTGCTTAAAACACAGCACAACAAAAAGTCAAACCCATGACTTTCTTATTTCAATTCCCATATCTTTCCCACTTTGTGCTTTTCATGCCAGCCCACCAGTGGTCACTGATTTCAGCACGCCTCTCTGGCTCCTACCACCCCCCTCAAATCCCTCGACGGATCTTTGCCACACACACACACACACACACACACACACACACACACCCAACCTAGATGGAAGAACTGTAAAGTTCAGTTTTATGATCCCACTAATTATTTCTTAAATATAGCTTTAAAGTATGTTTTTGAAGAAAAGAACACAAATTATAAGTGTACAACTCAGTAGATTTTCACAAGCTCACTACAGCAAGAATCCAAACAAAAACTCCAAAAACAGAATATTACTAACACCTCACAAGATTTGCTCCTGCTCTCTCCCAACTTTGATCTTTGAGATCAAAGAAGACAGCATATACTAGTCTTAGCAGTTGTCCCTGATATTTTGTGTAGGGTATGTGCACAAAGGCTGCTCATGCTCTGGTGATATCTGCAGTTTAATCAAAATGCACTGTGTTCCTAATGTTCTTTATTAAAGAAAGTAGACAGAAAACTGAAACGATAAACCGGAAATAATGAGTCTCCATTCTTATGCATTTTCCCCCAGCACCCTCTATGCCGACTTATGAACTTGAGACCCCTTTGAATCAGACTGACAATACAGTGACAGTCATGCTGAAGCCTGCACACAGCCGAGGCGCACCTGTCAGGTACTGAGCAGGGAAGGGGTGGGCTGGCTCTACAGAGATGAAAACTGAAATCAAATTGGTTAATTTCTCGACTGTGTTTTCTGGGGATTTGCTACAAACCTCAGTCAGCATGTAAATCCATATCTTTATTAATTCTAATTAAAAGAAATGATTAAGGAAAAGGGAAGTGCTTTGATGTGGGGTGATCAAGTATTGTGTAGAGTTTGATTCTGAATGTAAGCGGGTTGATCTTTGAAGATAAGGAACAAAGCCCCAGTGTGTGAGAGGTGGCTTTACTTCTCCAAGGTAATCACCTGCTGCAGTTTACCCAAGGGCACCTGACATTTTTAGCCTGAGTTCTCTTCTTTAAGTGGACCTTGTGTTCATTTGTTTGTGTGCCTTGGGTTTAAATTTGGTTAACTTTCATAAATTGCCTAATTTCTCAGTTAAATATGTGGTGCATTTTTTTAAAGTAGACCAGTGATTTTCAACTGCTGTGCCACAAAATTTTTTTAAGTTTTTAGTATATGACTATTATTTAGTCAGGGGCACTGACCTCTTTTCCCTTAGATTGTCAAATTTTTGAAAATGACAACAGCCAACACAACAATAGCCATCATAGTGTGAATGAATCAAAATTATACCTATTTCTTGTCATATTGGCAAAAATATATAATTTCTCGATGTGCCATAGAATTTTAGTAATTAGTTTATGAGTACCACGAGATGAAAAAGGTTGAAAATCACTGCAATACACAATTGGAAAGAACATTGTGAAGTCTTTATTTGAACAGATTTAAGTTTATTGCCAGCATGTAGGTCTCATTTCTTATTCCATGATGATTTATATAGCTAGGAAATTACAAAGTGTAACTTTTACAGTGAATGAATAAAATAAATTTATTCTTCCTAGGAAGGAGCAAAGGAATGCCTGAATAACTCTTGAATATGAACTTGTCATAAGCTCATTAATCTGTATAAATGAAAGTTCTACTTGTTTCAGAGGAACTTAGATATTGTGTGCCATCAGAATTGATTCCCTTCAAAATAATATATTACTTTCAATAACATATTCAAAGGAAACATTTACATTCACAATTAAGGCTATATGGGGTTTGTTTCCACATTTCTTTTGTGGATTTTTGTTTCATTAACCTTTTGGACCCTGGCTCTTTTTTAACACATTTTCACGACAGTATCCTGCAGTGCTCAGCTGGACTTCTGTATCTCTGATGAGATGAACACAAAGTTTAGTCTACACAGTGAAAACAGAATGGCACTAGTTGACGGTGAAGTCAAATTAGGGTGGAATTACAGAAATTTATACCTGAAAAATCTACAAAATTACATGAAACAATTTTTTATTTGCTTCGTTGACTCCTCAATGTGATCGCTCACATAAAGGATTTAGGATTGCCGTTCATGAGTGCAGTTTGTGAAAACACCATGAAATGTGTAAAAGCTCTATTCCAGATTTCAGATATTACTTCTGTTAGAAAAGAAGTAATCCTTTTCTCACTCCACAAGGCTCAGTTATTGTTCAATGAAAATTGAAGCTCTGACCATGGCCTTGAGGAAAAAACATCATTTTTTTCCTGACCAATTTAACAGTTGCCCAGACTCAGCAGTAGTGGGCCATTAGGACAGGAGTCGGTTTTCTACAGTAGAAGCACCAGGATGAATGAAAGGGCAGAGGTCGCTCAGTGTTAGGTGCCTCCACAGCGAAATCCTGGAGATGCTGAAACCCTAACCGGTTGTTCCTCCAAGTAGGCAGATATTCCCTATTCTACTTTATTCTTATGTAAAATCATTTTACACGTTTTTCTCTTCTTGTTGCATTGTTTCTTCAAAGATTTTTCTTTCCGTTCTTTGTTTAGATCATTCCAAGTCTAAGTTTTCAAGTAATATTCCTTTGGGCATCCACATTAACCCTCTTCCCAATCCTCTTTCCCTTGTCTTCTTAAACTGTCCCTTTACTGTTCATATTTTCTATCATTGGTGTTGCTAAAGCATAATTTTATTGTTTTTATTTATCCTTTCTAGCTGTTTTCAGAGACTTTGAAGACTTACTAGTTCATTAATTATAGATATCCTCAGACTTCTTACTCTTATGTCTATAAAAATACAGATTCAGACACTTGTCAGAGTGTCCAAACTACATAGCATGCACCACAGGTCTTACATCATTTCATCAGACCCAACTCTCTGCCTCTGCTAAGATTTCAGTTCAGGTTGTCACATCCACTTTCACAATTGTCATAGTGCCCTATGTTTCAAGTTAGCACTGGTCTGCTTTGATGAAACATCATCTTGTTATTAGCTAAACATTCCTTGAATTTGACAGGGTCACTTTGCAGTCTGCCTCTCTGTATTTTCATCCACAAGGTTTGCATCTTGAAGTTAATAAATGTACTATTTATGTTCATTGTCTAAATCCATAATACTAGAATGAATTTCATTTCTTGTGGGGCACCATTCAGTAAGCATCACAGGGAAATCCACTATGAACACCACCTTTAGTGGAAGGATGCTTGTCTTTTTTTTTTAGATTTTATTTATTTATTTTTAGAGGGGTAGGGAGAGAGAAAGAAAGGGAGAGAAACATCAATGTGTGGTTGCCTCTTGCACTCCCCTTACTGGGGACCTGGCCCACAACCCAGCATGTGCCCTGACTGGGAATCGAACCAATGACCATTTGCTTAACACACCAGCACTTAATCCACTGAGCCACACCAGCCAGGGCAAGGATGTTTATTTTAAATGCATAAATTTTATTGCACAAATTTGAGAGTAAATTATTTCAATCTCATCTATCAAAAGATTTTTTTTACAGAAAAGTAAGTACAGGGTAGGGCAAAAGTAGCTTTACAGTTTTTTGTATGAAAAAAGACACAGGCTATGATTATTCCAGTAGTTTTAGTAACTCTGTGTTCCACGTACTCACAACTGTGAACCTACTTTTGCAAACCTGTATTCTCTTCCATGAATTAATGATTGTAGGACAACATAATGGGACTGATTATGTGTTGAGTATATGGAATACCAATATATCTAGAAAGACTAGTTTGGGAAAAAAAAGTCCATAATACTCTCAAACTAAATAAGATGTATGAAAATTTTCTATTTCATTTGGTGTTTAGAGAAATAAGAATGCTGATTAGGGAATCATAGAGACCTAAAATATAAAGCCATAGTGTATATTAAAACATTTGAATACATCTGGAGGATTGCAAAATGCACATGTAATCAAACTGCAATACAAGAAAGCTTTTTCCAAATGATAAGATAAATGCTAGAACAAAGAGTAGAAATGGAAGTGAACATCTGTTTGCTTTTTTGGGTTCTTTTTTTTTACAGTTTTTTTTGTGTGTGTTCAAAAATACTGTCATGTGATTTCCAAAACCCATTTTTTCAAATGATTTGATTTTTTAAAATACATATTCATTGGTGTTGAAAATGCAGTCATACTTCATTTATGGACTTCACTAAGCAAGGTGGTTGCATATTGATTCCACTACAAGCACTCAGCTTTTGTTAATGCAGATTCGTGAAATCGCACTAAACTCAGAGTGTAAATAATTGTTGTCTTTTGATTGATCAACACGTCAGCTCTGTAACATAAAATTATTTAAATTCTAAAGTGGGCAGGGAGAACACAGATTTCATCATTCCAGCTGGTAAACTAGCACCTGGGACAGAACTTTAATATATGTTCATAGGATCAATTTTTTCTTTAATAAGACATATAAAAGCTTAATTTTATTCTACTCATTTAGAATCACCTCTTTTCTCTCTCTTCTTTCCACTATTCATTACATGCAGACACAACATGGCAGTAAAAACCCTTGTAATTTGCTAGTAAAAGAGTAACTTTAAATAAAGAATGAATTTTACACAAACTTTACCCAACAAAAATTCTCTCTGTGAATTTATTCTTGATGTATATATATTCTTTCTACTGCCTGCAACATCTCATTAATAATGTATTATACTTTCTGTTCATTTATAAGCTTGAGACTTAATCACATTTTTGAGCCTTAGGTGATGGTGTTTTCAAAAGACTCTCATTTTAAATCTACCAACATTGTTGCTTTAATTTGTTCATAAATATTTTGTAGCTACATGTCTTCTTAATTAAAACTCAGTGCTTGACTATATTGATTAATTAAGCATTCTCATATTTATTTCAGTGAAATGTTAAAAGATTAAGTTCTTATTTTTTGATTTATTCATTCAGGAGATATTATTAAATGGGGCAAGCATCTAGTACAGTTGTCTGTCCCAGGAATGGAAAGTGAGCAGCAGTCACATCAACAAGCCAGACATTAAAACCGATGGCTAAACACATGAATGTAACCTTAATTTATGGTAGCCACTGTGTTGTTTTTCTAATAAAGGTAGCCCCAGTTATTTTAATATTGTGCTTATATTGTCATTGGTAACTTATCATACTATGGTTGTCCTTACAACCAAATGCTTGCTTCCTCAGTGGTTATATTTCAAAAACAATTTCTGAATAATTTTTGTAGCTGAGAATCAGGACAGCAAATAGGAACCTTACTACATTATGAATAGGGAAGAAAGGAGGGCATAAGGAATGGAAGAAATATTTTGCCTTTTGTAAGGTTGTGTTCTAGTTAAGTAAGATTTCAAATGAGATAAATATTTCCTATTATGTCAAGCAAAAATATTTTATTCATATAAGACACTTATGATTTAAAAAAGACTTGTCTCCTATAATAAATACAGTTTTGTACACAAATCAAGAATTGTTTTTTATATAGTATGTCCAGAATTTTATTAAATGAATTTTGCCTTGAATTTATTATTGTAACAGCCTTTGAAAATGTCTGCTGTTTTCATTTACCCCTCTATATCATTTTTTCCTTATTCTGCTTTTCCTCTTGTAGTTAACTAGGACAATGTCAGCACATATTAAAGCCTCATTATTAAATTCTAATACCTGATTTACTCAAAGTACTAATCAAATATCTTTGTAACAAATTAGAAAATTAAGAACG